TCGAAACTGAAAACGAACATTCATTACGTGCCAATTTCGACTGAAACTATATATAGCTCTTCTTCATAAATAAATTCTGACTATGTTATCTTTAAAGATTAATCGATTAGCATCATCCAGTTGCCTAACTGGTATCGAACTGTATAGAAGAGAGGTGGATCTCCTCACAACCATTAATTTATCATCTTTTTGTATCGCGCATTTGATGATGACGGCTAAAAGATTAGTCGTATATAGATTAGTCTATATAGAGATGTTTGTAATGTGGAATTGTTTCAACATCAACAATAATTATTGATGTTTATGAAGAAGTACTTATATTCTTTGGCCAAAATTGACTCATAATCGAAATTTTTTTTGTTTTGATCGAAATTAAATTATTGTTTCAATAAATTACGATATTTATGAAAAAAGTATATGGTATGATGCGTCTATCATATGGCCTTTACAGGATTCTTATTTTTTTTAATTTTGATTTCGGTTTCGGTTGAAATTAACATGTAGCCGAGTGTTTCGGTTCAGTTTCGATAAAAGTTTCAGTCGGTTTCAGTTCAGACTCTAATTATCATATATGATATAATAATATAATTAAAAATATATTAAAATTTTTAATATTTTTATAATTTGCACTAATGTGCGCGGACCGCACAGAAAATTGTTCCGAATAACTAAAGTGCTTTATTCGCAAAATAGAACGATTTCAAAACATGCATAATAGTAATACAGTTTTATACGTAACTGAAAACGCATCCAAGGTTTGAAAGAAGACAAATAAATAAAGTAAAAATAATTTTCTTGTAAAAAATACAGGGAAAAAACCTGTATTTTAAGGATACATGAAGATTATAGTCATTTTTTTAGTGGAAACAATTTTTTTTCATTCAATACGATTCCTCTAATTATTCTATATATAAATCGAAGTGGAGATATCGAAAAATCAATTTTAGAGTTATTTTATACATTAGTCTAGCATATATTACTTAACATGAAATATTTCGTAAACTATTATTTTTTTATAATCGTATAATCTTGATACTACTACTTCTGTAAAGAATAATGAGATGAATCAATTGATGTAAAGAAAATGAAAATTTTACTTTGTTGGTGGAGAATTAATTATAATTAGAAATTGTGTAATGAATAAAATAAACAGATAGACTCTCGATAATATAATTTAAAAGGATAAGCGACAATAGGCTTTTAAACAATTATTTATTTAACTATAAATATATTAATTTAATACATTTATATGAAATATTAAACGATGAACATTTTGGCTAACATTTTTAGCCAACATTTTTTCGGATATCTCGCGAAAGTAGAACGCTAATTCACGTATAATACGTGCATCAAAAGCAGTAACAGGATGAAAATAGAATCACATTATACATAATGTCCAACACAATTTCAAAGCTATAGCTATGTAGTTTTTGATTGTAGCATATTTGCATTAGTGCTTGGAATACCGGGGAATCTGAGTCGTGCCCGTTAATTTGTTGCACATGAGGGAAGACCGAGAAATTCTGTGGATATCCATATCACACGGGTACCCATGAAATGCTCACTTTATAGTTTATATAAATACTCATATTGCTATTGATTAAACAATTTTGCAAAAGAAACAAAAATATAAATAAAAAAAGAAAATTACAAAAAAACTGTTACCAAAGAATTTATATTTTAATAAAAAGTTTTTTATATAAGAACATATATAAATTTAATATATATGTAAACATATATAAATATGTCCATATATATAGCAATAATATATATGAAATAACTGTGATTGATCAGTTTCACAACATCGATGTTATAACTTCGATATTGGTAATTTTATGACAAGCTGTCATTCTTCTTTTACGAAAAATATTCTTTACGAAATTTTGTTGACATGTATATACGAGAGGAGCGATTGAGAGTTACGAGAGAGCGAAAAAACGCGCTCTTATATAATCTTAATTATGATCTACTTGATGCTACAAACATTTCAGAGCATTTTTTAATTGATTGATAATTAGTAATATTTCTTTTTCGATTTATCAATCAAATACTTCAAAATCCAACTGGTATTATTTTTCACTTTAAAAAGTAAAACTTATTTATGTATTACTTTGTATAAAAGACTTGATATTCAACTAACTGGCGCCAAGTTATAATCCTATAAAAATTATGTTACCTTACTTAACCCAAGTGATGTGTTCTCAAATTCGTACTCAGAATATAATTCTGTTTCAATCCAAGTGATAATATCTTTTTTTTTGTTTTAACTTTTCATTCAAAATTAAAAAATATTTTAACGTAAAAAGCCGGTGCTGCTATATGCGTATTGACATACATATATGGATCCTACGACTCGCATTTCGCGATTCAGTTACGATCATCTTTATTAGCTGAGGCCTTTGGATTTGTTACTACTTACGACTAAATTATAATGACTAACGATCTTTATTGTCATAGACCAATTTGTTCATTTTACAGCTATTTTTATATATTTTGTATGTTATGTTTGTATGTTTGTATGTAATGTTTTGTATATTTTGTATGTTACGATCTGTGATGTTTTGAAGAAATTTTATTACAATCAAAATTAGGTACATTATTAAAATTTCAAAGAGACGTCTAAATTCAAGTCTATCTAAGAGTGAAGGAGTCGAGGAAGCTCGTTTCTCAATCTGCAATTATAGTAGCCGTTTTTAATTTGCTTATCATCTGCTTCTGTGACCTTTGCTACATGGCACGCTTAATCGGATTTAATAACATCCACAGTTATGAAATTGACCAATCATAGATGTTACTCGAAAGAATAACTGGCCAGTTTCATAACTATGGATATTATTAAACCCGATTAAGCGTGTCGTGTAGCAGAGGTCTGTGACACTCATAATAATGTTATATTGATCTTTGAGCACCATTGTTTCTTATTATAGAAAAAAATATGAATATTTCCATATAGTGCGCGCACAGAAGTTTATAGTAATATTGTGTTATATTGCATATTGCAACATATTAGGTAAGATTTTCCCTAATATTTAGATAGACCTTCAGGCGGAGCGCTAGTATCTAATTTTTGTTATTTATGCTTCATTTGATTTTATTTAGACTTAGATAACGAAGAAATGCAGACGTTTCAGTTCACGAGCCGAGTTTTGTACAGGTTTGATATATAATATATAATATATACATATGTAAGTTTATTATCATTTAAATTTATGAAAATTAAATTTACTTCGCCGATATTGTAGTCCAAATGCTCACGATTGAGCTTTGCATTTTGGCATAGCAGCGAATTTGTGAAAATGTAAGACTGCAATTTCTACGTAGACAAACGTTCTCGCATACACGAAAAAAAAATTCAAGCATGGCTAATCGAGAGCTTATATTGCGCGATATATGACACATGAAATCTTTATAAACTCAGTTATTTTGTCATGAGTAGTGGGATTTCATACTGGCGTTAATTTGATTAATGCCGAGAGATGCTACCGTTTTTTGATCAATATACTCTCGTTGAAGTGAATAGAAGTTATAGTAACAGCATATATTAATTTTATTAGAAAACGTTTGCGACGCGAACAAACCTTATAGTTACAGCCAGGATCAATTGTAACAAAGTAATTAAATTATTACAATTAGAAAATAAATTTATAAGAGGAAATAATTTAGTAATAAAGTATTAAAAGTGTGTGTTTCTTGAAGTTCTTCGTACACTCCTATAACCAGAAAAATTTCTTTGTTGCACGAAAGATACAACACCAGCCTTGGTTATAATTAATATAATATAATAGTATGTACATATTAAAATACACTAAACTCTATTATAAAATATCTCTTTTTTGTAACTTAACTATACACATTTTTCAAAATTGTAACGCGAATAATTTGGTAAACAAATCGTATTTAGTGCTAAAAAAAATTATAGGAAATACTTGATCTTTATTCTTGTGTATTTTTGTTGAATAGTAGTACATAATTATCATTTCGAATATTTCAATGTCAATCTATAAATATATTTCAATGTCAATCTATAAATATATTTCAATGTCAATTTATAAATATTGATTCTATTTTAATATATGTCTGACATAGACGTTCTGTTTTTATTTTATTTACTGCGAGTGAAATCGTTTTTACTGAAATCGTGTAAATCTATGTTCATGTTACATATACTGGAGTTCAGAGTAATGCTCAGATAATTCTGTGCATTTGTAAGTGTGCATTTTTATTATAATTTAACAAATTATAATATAACTATAGCTTAAAGTTATTTGAACGCAATTCCTGAATGCACTCCTATACATTTTCAGTATTCGCAATCAACGCGATTAATAAAATATAGTCATTTAAATAAATTATGTTTTGCACGTAATAGTTTTGCATTTTGTATAATGCTCTAGGAACTGCGTTCCGTTGCATGTATAAATGCGCAGTAAGATATTTTATTTTTATTATTCGCAGAATATTAAATAATGAAACAAAAACAAACAATAAAATAATACATCGTACGCATTATGTATGCTGTAGAACGCAACCCAGAAAAGTTAGTAGAATACTTGACATATTACAATTCATCATAAATAATTGTGTAACAATTATGAGCCTTCTACAATAAATTAATATAAAGTAAAAATCAAAAGCTAAAAATTGACGACTGGTCAATTTTTTTACTGATTTCTGATTTCTGATTTGTACAATAAGCTAATAGCTTATTGTAGAAGCTGCTGAACTGCATCAACGTTATTTTAAACGAGACTCAAAACTCTTCTCTGTCATTCTCTTTCGGTTTTGAAAAGAGAATTTTAAGCTTTGCTTAAAGTCAAAGTAACAAGTCTAACACTATAATCAAGTCTAACACTGTTCTAGAGTGTCTTCCATTTAATGATACAAGCATGGATGCTGATTTTTGTAGGGAGTGTGTAGAGTACTCCACCCATCAGAATTTTTCATGTGTGGAATTCTACACATGAACTATTTTTTTTTTTAAAGATTGAAAATGTATTTGCATTCTATGCAGCAAGTTCGGTTGAAATTAGTATACTAATGCATATTATAAAGTATAACTAAGGTCATTGGGGGGAGGAAAGAAACCACACTTAAGTCTTTATTCTTGAACAACTTTTTAATGTTATTGAATTAACGAACGAAAAAATATTATTTATATTTTAGCCTTCTTTTATTTATACAAATCAATGAATTAAACTTTTAAAGTTCCGTATTATTACAAAAAATTGACATAGAAAGTTTAAAACATAAAAACATAGAAACTGGTAAAGAAATAGTTGACCAGGTTTATCAGAAATAATAGAAAGTGTAAATATTTTATTGTAAAATGGTATATCTATATATTATTTTTACTGATATAATTTTAAATAAAAGTTTTGTGAATTAAATATTTACATAGTACTTTTTCAATGTAATGTTAATGATAATTCAAATAGTCTATCTTTTGATTTTAAAAAAAATTTCGTTTACAGCAAATTTAATAAGTAATAAGAACGTAAAAATATGATATAAAATACGATAAAAATACGATAAAATACGAGAATGATATAAAATAAATTTAAATTTTCCTTTTTTCTTTGTTATTTGTACTTCTTTGTAATTTCGTTACAATTGACATATGTCATGATGTTTCAGAAACCTGGCAATCCAAAAATCAATCGAAAAATATATAAATCTATCAGTGATCTCCTCCTTGAAGAGGAATGTCTGGATTCGCCTTTTAAAATCAGCAATCTTGAACACAAATATCGTATCTTATTTTTTTTATTCTATAAATAAAGATAAAACGATATTTATGTCGACTTGGAAAGCATCACTAATCAATGATGAATTCGAACCTATTCAGGAATTTTCTCCTCCCTTATGCAATAGAAATATTTTTGTCCTCGTATAACTCTCACACGGATAGGTAGATCTCTATACGTAAGGGAAAGGGAAAAACGCTTGCCTAACTGGGCTCAAAATTTCATCATTTCTGATGTACAGTATACGTAATGTGAACTATAGATTTTCTTGGTCAAATGTCTCCTTCCAGGAGAAATAAAAGAAATAGAATTTCAGTTAGTTACATACATGTAATTGATATCGTGTCGATGAACATTTACTTCCATCGTGTGAATATAGACTATTTTTATGCGTTTTATATTTAGATATCGTATATTAATATATTTAGATATCGTTAATCGTTAGTATTTTCTAAAAAATCATAAAATACGTTTAGAGATTTTGTATGTATTGAAATATATATTATTTTCATTCTTTATAATATATATATATTTTATATATATATAATATATATTTTGGCTCGTATTCAGAATTTTTATGGTGTTAACGTATATTTAACATACACCCAGAAAAATGACCGTTAAATTGATCTCAGTCGACATTGATTTCATGATTTACTTCTTGCTGGGTATTTCACATTATGTATACCATTTTAGAATTTTAGATATAAAATCATATATTTATCAATAAATAAAAGTGCGTTCTGAATACTGAGCTATAAACATATTTTATGTATGTAATATTTATTATATATGTGTATATACATATGTATGTATACAGGTATATGTGCGCGTACATGATGCGCATGTATGTGTAAAATACATTTTCTAAATACTTTCTTATTAATTTTATCAAAACTCGTATAGATATATGATTAGATTACTTTTCGTTGTTGCAGTGACCCACATTGTGCAACAAGTGGAACATCAAGTTATAACTACAAAGGACTTTCTAAATAGAAATTGCACCGTAGAGATTCTCTTTCTAAGTACACTTCGCATAGACTCGTTAGACAGTTGCCTCTTGCACTCTTTTAACGTTGAAGCACAAACTAAGAAATGGATACAAATATTATGCGTCACTTTTTCATCTTTAACTCAGTGAATATAATATTAATGTCATTATCATTCAATTTCCTGGAATCTTATTTACCTACGTTGATAAAACGTGCCTTTCTCTATGGCAAATTTAGTGTAAAAACGCCTCACACTATAGCAGCAAAACTCGAAGTGCCCAAAAGGTAAACTAAATCTTACATATTTTTTTACAAAGATTTAATGACTACTGTAATTTAACAATAATTTATTAAAAATATATTATGTAGTATGCATTATTTTAAAGATATTTTTTTTTAATATCAAACAATGGACATGTACATAGTCTTTCATTTAATACTCAAATTGTAATATTAAAAATATTTTTGTAGATGGTTTAGACATTTTTACATATTTTGTGCACCACTGATGACTATTACTCTTTGCTTACTTTCTTACAAAAATCTCTATAATGTAAATATACCTGAAATTGTGTTTACATTGTTAGACACATTATTAGGAACATCCAGAAAACCATTAAGTATGTCCTTAAATATTTTTTTGAATATACATATTTACTAAAAATGTCATTAATTCTATATTTATATAGATATATATAGATAATATAATAATTATTTTTTTATATAATAATATAATATAATAATTATTTTTTAGTATCAGCAGAAGATGCATTTCTGGCTGTTGTCATACTTAACATACATTGTTGGAAGAGATTTTATGAGTCATGTTTCATTAATGTATATAGTAATCAAAAAATACATGTATTCCTTTATTTCATTGGATTTGCGCATTATATCGGAATAATTCTGTGTATATTAGGCGAATCTGGAGGATTTGTTAAAGGTACTTTGAAAAAATGTACAAATTTATATTAATTTATTACTTTTTGGTTACTTAAGAAAGTGTCTATGTATAATTATATATAAACAATATACTTTTATATATAGAGTAACTAAAAAAAATCTCGGAACGGAAATATCTAAACAAAACAAAGAAAACAACAGATTTTTGTATGCAATTTTTGTATGAAATTTTTCTTAATATATTTGTTTTCGAAATATTTTACTGGAGATTTTTTCTAACTCTATGTGTATATGTAAATATATCAGATTGGATAGCTGGTTAGAAAATTAGAAATTAAATAATAAAGTTAAAGTAATAATTTATCAACTATAGTTACTTTAAACATATTAATTTATTAACTTCTCTGTAAGAATTAAAATTTGTTTTATTGAATCTAAAAATGCTAATTTTTAATAAATATTATTATAAATCACTAAAAAAAAAAAAACAAAATTTTTTTTCTAAAGAATTTTACTTTGTTATTTCAAATAAACTTAAATTACAAATAAAACATTAAATTTATGTTCTAGTGCAATTTTTTGCAATTTTAACTCTTCCAAATAATTATAAAAATTATAGAATGTAATTGTGTATATATATATATATATATAT